TACCCCACTTCTCCGGCGGCCCCCTGGCAAAACACCCCCCTCCCCCCCCCCCCCCCCCAAATACTAGTTTTTTAACCAATTCGGCCCAGTAATCCGTGTCTGGATTCGCTATCTTACCTGAGTTGAGTCTCATATCCATGAGTTAGGTGCAGAATTCTATGCTGAATCCAATGGTACCATTTTCAAGGGGGGTCATCGGGCAAAAAACCCCTCTTACCCTCCAAATACTGGTTTTTTGAATCCATTCTGCCCAGTAATCCCTGTCCGGATTCGCTATTTAACCTGAGTTATGTCTCATATCCATGAGTTAGATGCAGAATTTTATGCTGAATCCAATGGTACCACTTTCAAGGGAGGTCATCGGGCAAAAACCCCACTTGCCCACACAAAACCAGTATTTGGGGGGTAAGAGCGGTTTTTTGCCCGATGACCCCCCTTGAAAATGGTACCATTAGATTCAGCATAAAATTCTGCATCTAACTCATTGATATGAGACATAACTCAGGTTAAATAGCGAATCCGAACAGGGATTACTGGGTCGAATGGGTTCAAAAGACGGGTATTTGAGGGGTAAGTGGGGTTTTTTGTCCGATGACCGCCCTTGAAAGTGGCACTATTGGATTCAGCATAAAATTCTGCACCTAACTCACGGATATGAGACATAACTCAGGTAAGATAGGGAATCCGGACATGGGTTACTGGGCAGAATGGGTCGAAAAACCAGTATTTTGGGGGTAAGGGGCTTTCTGGTCCGATGACCCGCCTTGAAAGTGGCATCATTCGATTCAGCGTAAAATTCTGCATCTAACTCATAGATATGAGACATAACTCAGGTAAGATAGCGAATCCGGACAGGAATTACTGGTCAGAATGGGTCGAAAAACCAGTATTTGGGGGGTAAGTGGAGTTTGTTGCCCGATGACCCCCCTTGAAAGTGGCACCATTCGATTCAGCGTAAAATTCTGCGTCTAACTCATGGATATGAGACTCAACTCAGGTAAGATAGCGAATCCGGATAGAAAATGTCGAATATGGTGCTAACTTTACCGACGTTTAAAATAACAAAGCTAATTTCAGATTGGTTCGCGTCCTAGCCAATGGGAAGGTCGGATGTAAAATTCGACCTCAGATTCGAATTTCCCGATCTCAATTACCTTTAGTGAAACTTAAGAAGTTACGCTTAAATAAAGTTCGTCTCTAATGTTTTTTTGACCTTGACACATACATAGACACAAACGCATTTTATTTCATATGACCCTCCTTACAGTCGAGAGAATAAGAATGTTAAATTAAGAAAAAATTAATTTAAAAAATGAAGAAAAATGAACGATTAGCAATAATGCAAACAAAAAATAGGGCGTCTGTAGAAGAAATAAAAAATTTCTGTTTAAAATGCGGAAATTAGAAAGGTTCTTAATCTGATGTTCGATTGTCCTGCAAAACAACTATAGTCTACAAGAAGCTTTTCTCTTCACATATTTTGTATTAGTTTAATGAGGTCAGAGAACATATGTGAGTTTCACATCTCAGCCCCAAAAAGGCTGTGCTAACAAGCTTTTGTTTATGAGTCGCTTTTTGGTATGATTTGAACAAGTACAGCAGAATTAAAAACCATCTGATCATTGACAACTTGAGTGATTGTGAAAACATGTCGAATGATTTACTTCCAATCTTTCTTATCCATACACTCATATCCTACCAATGAATTTTCTACATTTTTTGTAATTAATCTTGTACATTATTTGCTAAAGTACCGATCATACTTCATCGTGATAAATTCTTTTTTGCAGAAAATCACTTGATAATGGTAAATTCGATAAATCTCTTATTCAAATTCTTTTTTTCTTATTATTTAAATAACAATATTTTTTTCTTAATATTCTTGTTCTTATCATTTTTATATTTCTTATCAATAATAAAAATTTCAAAAGCAAAATAATTAATATATTATTGAAAAAAGCAATTGATCATTATTTCTACTCCTATTATTATTATTATATAAAGAAAAATGCTAACTTATTAAATTTAAACATCCTCAAACCTCTAATCCTTATCCTCAAGAGAGTTTGCACATGCGTCGTTGATCGTCTCTTCATACGTTAGAAAATATCAATAAGCAATGATTTCGTGTACGACGAAAGGCGAAAAATGTATGTGTACATGCTCTCACATCTGATTACCTACACATGTTTCGTTAATGTAATAGAGCTGACAAAAGTATGCTATTTGTTCTCACTTCACATATTAATTAGAGGTAACCTTGGTTTTGTGAGAGACGCGAAAAAAAACATTATCTACGGACTCTTGTATCTGACTGCTTGCTTTTTTCATCAAGATGAAAGAAAAGTTATCTATGCATCAGTGAACACTGTCATAAAAGAGGATAAACAATGTATTTATCTTCACATTATTTTTAATTTTTGGCATTCATTTAAATGATATCTAGTGCATTGACTAGTTCTTTTTTTTTGACTCCAATCGTTCTTGAGTATTATCGAACGGTAACTACGAATGTACAGAGTATCTCAAAAGTTCGAACGAAAAGTAATTTCCTATAACTCCACTATTTATCAAACTTAATCAACTAATTTTTTTTATTCCAATGATGGGTATCATTATGAAGCTTTTATTTATGTAACAATCAGTCTTTTGTCGATTTCAAAGAAAAATACTACGCAGCGTTTCTCTTGTGATGCTTCAAGTTCTTGAGTCTTTTGTTGCGTTTAGATTGGCTAGATCTTGAGCTATCATTTGTATATCTTTGTTTTGATATACCACTACAAAAAGAAGCCTAATCTTGTAAGATCCAACAATCATAAAGCCCATGAGATTATGCTATATTTTTGAACGATGAATGATGAACTGAAAGCAGTGAATCAGTCTCATGGACTTCAAAATTGCCGGATCTGACAAAATTAGGCTTTTTTTGTAATGGGATATCAAAGCATAAGCATATAAACGATAGCACAAGATCTGGCCAATCTAAACGCAACAAAACACGCGAGAATTTGAAGCATCAAAAGATTCATGGTTGTATATCATTTGAATAAAAAAAAACAAAATTAGTTGATTAAGTTTGATAAATAGTGGAGTTATAGGAATTTATTTTTTGTTCGAACTTTTAGAACACCTTGCATATACATATAATTTTTTATAATTTGATGGACATTATGTCGAAATATATCTACATTGAAAAGTTGAGTTTGAAATTGATGAGATGTGAAACAATTGATGATAACATAGATCTAGTTTGTTAATGTTAAATATAAATAATGCTTTCTTAATTTCTAGGTGCTTGTCGATGCTGGTCATCGTTACCTTCTATTCCATTTCGATCATGTAGTAACTGTCATTGATCGATCATGGATAAATATCATTTGACAACAACAAATAATAATAACAATATTAATATGATAAATAAAAACATTTTTCATACATCATTACCAACAGTTGTTAATATCTCAAATAATGATTCACATATAGATGAAACTGATTGTTTTCTTAATGAACATGATTCATCAAATATTTTATCCGATTTACCAGATTCATGTAATCTTAAATAAAAAGATGAAAATAAATTACCATTTCCAGGTTTTGTTGAAAAAGCTTTTTATTGGCTTCGACAAACAACACAACCACGTTATCAATGTTTAAAACTTATAACATGGCCATGATTTGAACGTATAAGTATATTCGTTATTTTGCTTAATTGTATTACACTTGGTATGTATCAACCATGTGCACATGATACTAATATAGAGTCATCGAAAAAATGTGGTATAGCACTTTGTATTTGGCCACAAGTAACCGATTATTTTGTTTTTGCATTTTTTACAATTGAAATGTGTATTAAAATGACAGCAATGGGAATATTTGGTAAAGGAACTTATCTTGATGAGTCATAGAATCGACTTGATTGTTTTATTGTTCTTAGCGAGTATGATCATACCAACTTTTGTTTTGAACAAAAAAAACTAAAATTTTCTTTAACAAAATTGATCAAAAATTTAACGAGTTTAACTATGAAGATCATTGAAAGTGACAAACATATTTTATGCCGGACTTAAAAAGAATTTCTTTTTGTTTGAAATCATTTGAGAGCTTTTAATGTTTGAATTTTTTCAGTAGTTATCAATAAGAGATATTTTGAAAGTTAACACTGTCAAAGATCTTTTAAAATTCTTTCTAAACTATGCTTTCAAGTTCCAATTTTAATGTTTCATCGTGGCATATTAAAAATAATTTTTACAGTAAGATTGATTCTTTTGAAATGAATATTTCGGATCTACAAGAGAGAATAAAGTGTAAAGATGAAAATGAGATGTTATTAATTGTTAACATTTAGATTAGTGAAATTGTTGATACCAGGTGATAATTTAAATCTATCAGCTATTCGTACAGCTCGAGTACTTTGTCCATTACGTGCCATTAAGCGTGTACCATCGGTGCGTATTCTTGTTATGCTTCTACTTGATACATTACGTATGCTTGGCAATGTATTTCTTCTCTGTTTTTTATCTTTTTCATTTTTGGTGTTATTGGTGTACAATTATGGAAAGGATTATTAACGTAATCGTTGTTTTTTACAATTGAATACTACGATTACAGATAATTATGCATTATTCGAGTATGTTTATCGAAAATTAAATATTTCGTTTTTATTTATTTTTCTTTGTTTGAAGTGATTTTCCTCTTCAATCTTTTTATATTCCTCCTGATCAAGATTCATTTATTTGTTTTGATCCATCATCAAGTGAAATGACAAAATGTTCAGAAATTCTACAATCTCGTCGAGATAATATGATATGTGAACTTGATTTTCATTCATTGACTTTATTATTAACAAATAAAACAATAAATAGATGTATTAATTGAAATCAATATTATCAATTATGTACTATTTCTAATAAGAATCCATTTTCTGGATTGATTAATTTCGATAATATTATTTCAGCATGGCTTGCTATCTTTCAGGTTCGTTTCTTATTTATTAATTCATTAAATATTTCTATGTTCATTTTTTTCTATTTAATTAGATAATTACTTTTGAAAATTGGATTAATATAATGTATTATATACAAGATGCACATTCATTTTGCAATTGGATTTATTTTGTATGTCTTATTGTTATTGGTTCATTTTTTATGATGAATCTTTGTCTTGTTGTTATTTCTACACAATTTCATGAAACAAAAAAAAGGTGAAACAGAACGAGTTTTAGCTGAACAAAGACGTTTTTCATACTCAATAGCTGCAGTAATAAATTATTAACAAGATTCTTGTTGGAAAGAAATAATTAAATATTTTCAACGATTATCAAAATGTACATATGAACGATTTAGAATATTCTAGAAAAATTATCGACAAAAACGTGATAAACTAAATATGACAAAAAATTTCATAAAATTAATCAGATTAATAATTTCTAATAGGAGAAGATCGAAGTGCTAGTTTTTAAAGAATAAATCCTAGTCAGTTGATTAAAGATCAATCAATCTGATTATGTAAACAATACTTTTGTAATATGAATTT